CATAAAATGTTGTCAGATTTAATAACATCTCTTTCATCTAATCCATATTTTGGTGCTGGTGCTGGTCTAATTGGTATAGGTACAGTATTAGCTGTACTTCGTCGTTCATCTCAATATGGTTTAATATTTTTTCGTCGTCAATTTATGATAACTCTTGAAGTACCTAATAATGATATAAGTTATACATGGTTATTAAAATGGATATCACATCAATTACGTGATTCAAGTCGTCATTTAAGTGCTCGTACAACATTAATAAAAAATGATGATCCAGCATCACGTATTCAAGCATCATATACATTTGTTCCATCAGTTGGTATACATTATTTTCGTTATAAAGGAAAATTTATTAAAGTTGAACGTACACGTGAACAAATGATTAATTCAGGTGTACCATTTGAATCTGTACAATTAACTGCATTTGGACAAGATCGACAAATTTATATTGATATGTTAGAAAAAGCTCGTGATGCTGCATTATTAGCTAATGAAGGCAAAACACTTGTTTATGTTCCAACGAGTGAGTTAAAAACAAATTTAATAACAATAACAAAATTAGTTTAGTTAATGAATGGCGTCTATTTGGTCATCCAAGACGAAAAAGACCATTGAATTCAGTTATACTCGATAAAGGAATTCTTGAAGGTTTAATAAATGATGTGGAACATTTCCTTTCAAATCCATCATGGTATATTGATCGTGGTATACCTTATCGACGTGGTTATCTTCTGTTTGGACCTCCTGGTTCAGGAAAAACATCCGCTATTATGGCTCTTGCAGGTTGTTATTAAAATACCAAATGATTGAAAAGTTTTTAGACGAAATATTGATTCAATTTTGATATGCAAGAAAATATTTTCGACTAGTAGTAAAGTATAAGTTTAGAATTAGAATATTGTTCAAAGTTTTTGTTTTAGATTCGTGAAAGACTTTTTGAACTACTTAAAAAAATTATTTTTAATAGTGAGCCAATGGTTTTTGCTTTTCGTATAAGACCCATTTCAAACATGTGAAAAATTGTTGGAATCCATTGTTTTGCAGAGCAGATACTTTTCTACAAAATGTGATATTGACCTAAACGGTAATTTTTATTCAAATGAGACTTCAAGCATTTTTTTCGACAGTTTCTTTCAACGTAAAATGGTTGTCAAATTTAAAAAAAAATAAAATAAAAGTTAAGACATCTTGTCGAAAGATAAAATGCATAGTATATGGTAGCTTCTGATCTACAAGCTGATATAAATATAAGGATCCAAACTTTTCAAATATTATTTCATAACTTTCGAATAAACACAGACAAAAGTGAACAAATATTGTATCTAAAAAATTTCCGATCATCCGTTATATTCGACTTAATTATGAAATAATTATTTCTAGGACATTTTGATTTAAGTATTAGTACACTTAATTTAAGTCAAGGTACAATGACTGATGATCGTCTTCAACAATTATTAAGTAATGTACCTGAAGAAAGTATTATTTTATTAGAAGATATTGATGCAGCAACAATTGGCAGACATTATGAAAAAGAAGGTTAATATTTCAATCAATTTTTCAAATAAAATATTCGAAATTCACTGTTTTTTTTTCTTTTCTAATAGATGCTATACGATATCAAGGTATGAAACCATTAACATTAAGTGGATTATTAAATGCACTTGATGGAGTTATTTCAACTGAAGGTAGAATTATTTTTATGACAACTAATTTTATTGAACGGTATGATTTATTTTATTTGTATTTAAGGTCTTCTCCTCTCAATAATTGATTTTAAAAGAAAAAAAAGCACTTTTTAAGATAAATGCATAATCATGACTTCTAAGAAGACGAATTATAAAACCTCATAAGAACAACTTTCAATTTTATAAATTGTCTTCAGAAATCATCATGAATTTCTCGAGCTCTCTAGCGCAAAGACCAATACCATATCCAAAGGAAGATTATAAGTACTATTGGAGTTACATTTTCTATATGTAACTAGAAGATCATTCGATAAAGTTCTAAATGATATTTTTAATTGGTACGACATATAACCATATTTGATGCTCATTTCAAAAAGAATGATCGCATATGTTTCTTCACATAAGTTTTTTGCATAAATTGTCGAATTTTGAACAAATTTCTTTTCAATAGTGTTCATTCTATTGGAGTGTTTTTTTTTAAATTTTGGATGAGGAAAAAGAATGTTGTATATCAAAGTAATCATGAATTTTCTAGAAAACATTACTCAGAATTATTGGAGTATCAAGATTTCAAAGTTACAAGCAGTTTTCTTTAGAATAAGAGTAGTTCGAGTGCTATAGCTTGAAGTGTATTGGAAAAGGATGCATATGCATGAAAGTCTTATTTTGTACTATGATGCCTTAATAGTAACGTTTAGAGTATTGAAAATATTTTTAAGTGTGAATGTTCATTAGTTGAACATCTTTAGAAAATCTGATGAATATTCGATACACTATATCGAAAATCAATTTCATAGGAGGTGAGAGTAAGATGTTACTAAATAATCATTTTTTTCCTTTTTAGTCTTGATCCAGCATTGATTCGTCCTGGACGAGTTGATAATAAACAATACATAGGTCCTTTAACATCTCATCAAGTTGAACGTATGCTTATTCGTTTCTATCCTCAATCAACTCGTAATGAAATTGATGAATTTTTAAATAAAATAGAACGTTTAACAGATAATTATTCACAACAATTAAGTGCAGCACAATTACAAGGATTTTTTATGTATTATAAAGATTCTATAAAACATGTTTTTGATAATATTGATCAATTGTATTGTTTATAATTGAAATAAATTTTTATTAACGAAGACATGAAATTAAAAGACGAATACAACAACCTTTTCTTTGTGTACCTTTTACACCATTGACATCAATATGAACATGTTTATGTTCATCAATTCGATATTCTCCAATAGGAAGATATATTTCCCACATTGTTAAAAAATCTATTGGAATAAAATCATGTTTATATGCATAATCAACAATTACATCTGTTTGATTGACAATAATATGCTAAAAAAAAAAAGAAATCGAAGAAAACAAATAATAAACAATTAATTATATTTTATTGAAAATATTTAACTGTAATAGAAGCATTAAATGCAATCGATTTATCAGGTTGAATCATTGTAAGTAATTCAATACAATGACCAATTATATTTCTATGTGTTATGATTATTTCAAATGTTGTTTGTGCATTTTTTATTGACTTTTTCTTTAAACGAAAATAATCACGTTTTAATGCATGCCAATTACCTTAAATGATTAAAATAGAAATAAAATTATGTTACTACCAAAACATATGAAAAAAAAAGTAATAGTTATATATATGCTGAAAGCGCTCAGAATATTCTATAACATTGTATATTTAATGTTTTAACTTATGTCTACTGGTTGGAAAAAAAAATTAACTACGATGATAACATCCTCATTCTCAGATTCCTGTAGACTAAATTTTATCATTGTTTACTCAAAAAGTGTTTTAAATTTATTATCATTACAGGTATAGGAATTATCTTCGACTGAGATTATTCTCAATTGGTAAAAATTTGTAGCATGAGAAACTTTCCGAATATGTTATCTCATTTTGGTTCCTAAATAACTGATGAATAAGTATTAACAAGATATTTTATTAATTGAATTATCATCTGATATTTACTTTATTAAATTCACATATTATCCACACTTGCTTGAAAGTAGGGATCTATGAATCATTGTAAATCCAGACGCAGAAGCTGATTGTGGTCTACAAGTTTAAATTTTCTCGGGTCTACTAAAACGTGGATCTCCAATTCCCCTATCAGGAAGTCTCGTACCAGTAAGATTACTATTTGTATATTCTCTTAAATGAACTTTAAGTATTGAAAGGTATGGCAATAGATGGGTTGATAGATCTTTTATATATCTATACTCATACTTGCATGAGCACCTACTACATATTGATAGAATAATGGAGCCAATAATTGAATATTAACTGCAACTAGTTAAAGACAAATATAAAGTAGAAGAATTCGAAAATGGTACTTTTCCAATGGTTTCGTGATTATGTATTCTGATAGAGTTTGAAATTCTCTATTATTCTGCATAACTCTCTATTGTTTTAAATGTTATTTTTGCAATAAAAATTTGACTGCAGCGAAGAGACCTTTAATGGACGCGAACTGAAATTCATTGTATTTTGTCATTTTTTTTTTGAGTTGATATTTCTCTCTTGTCTTACATTTAAATTCTGTTGAATAATATGAGTGCATTCGGTAGTTATAGTCATTGAGAAACCTTTTAAAACTGTGTTTTCTGTTATCATTTTTCTTTTTTATTTAAAGTTTAGCATTCTCTATCATCCAAAACTTTTGAAACAAAAAAAAACCAAGCGTGTATTGAGTTATGATGATAAACTTTAAAACAATAATCCAGGAGACAGCGACAAAATTCAGATCGTGAGAATTTAATAATGAGGCAGCTTTAATTGTAGTTGATATATTTTTCACTCAGTAGGCACAAGTTAGTTAAAACATAAAATACACAGGTTCATAGGAAACGCCAAGCGCTTTCCGAGGAGGGGGGGGTGTGGGTGGGGGGGTGTGGGTGTGGGTGGGTGTGGATGGAGTGTGGGTGAGGGTGTGGGTGTGTGTGCGAGTGGAATGCGAGTGTCGATGTGGTGTGGGTGTGGCTGTCAGTGTGGATGGGTGTGGGTGTGTGTGTGGGTGTTGCTGTGGGTGAGTGTGTGTGGGTGGGTGTTGGTGGTGTGTGGTTGTGGGTGTGGGTGTGGGTATGTTCATCTTCACGCACACCCACGCCCACAACCATCCCCACACCCACACCCATACCCTTCTTTCATTAACATTTTTGAAATATTATTATATTCATAAATAATACAATGTATTTTATCAAATGAATTCTTATAAACATCAAAAAGTCTCAAAAATTTTAATAAGAAATCTATTTCTTAATTATCATTATCATAGAATTGATTTGTCTTCATATTTTATTCAACATTAAAAATGGTAATAAGAAAATAAATCTTTTCTTTTCAATTTTGATAGAAATATTTCAATTTGATCCAATATTATTTCTATTTCTATTTATTCTAGATTTATATTGCAATCATAAGAAATCATTTTGATGTAATCAATAAGATGATTAATTAAATCAAAAGTTATCAGAGATTTTCTTTTTTTGTTTTTTCTTTCAATTCAACTCCTATTATTAATACTTCTAACAAGATTTTTATCGTTTCCTAAACTTGAAAAAATGTTAATTTATCTGTATCATCTTTTATGTTTATTTTATTAAAGTAAGTAACATATGATACATGTTTTGTTTCAACAATGTTCAAGATTCATTTACTGACTGGCGTCACTGAGTTGTTTGTTAATAAATCATATACTTTGTTCAACAATGATTCCATATCCTTCATACCACTTGTTAAACCGTCAACATAAGTTGTTAAATTTGTTGCATTACCTTTAAGACCTTGTAAATTAGTTTTTACATCTTCTAAATCAGTTTTTACACCTTGCAAATCAGTTTTTACACCTTTTAGATTAGTTTTTACACCTTGTAAATGGTTTTCTACATTAGTTAATCGATTTGAGAA